TCCTGGAGAAATTCTGTTGAAAAATGCAATTTGCTGTGTTTCAGCCTGTGCCCATTAGGTCTTGCCCTTTCCCTGGGCATTGCTGGGACGAGTCTGGCTCCATCCGCTTTAGTCCCCCACCAGCTATTTATTTACAAGGGCACATTCTCTTGTTTGCTTTCCCATCTCTTATTTTCCTTTGCCACTCAGTAGGCACGCACAGTCCTGCCAGGCCCCAGAGCTGCCCCTTCCTGCCAGACTGATTGTCTGAATAACGAGCGTTTTGGTGTAAAATAGATGTGGTTTCACACCCTCAACTTTCACCCATTTGAAAGGCTTGTTATCATATTAACTTTTTCTTTTCCACTAATGTTATTCTGATCACTGTCTGAAGTGAAATAATGGTTGCTTTTCCTGGAAACACAGGGTGTAAAGCACTGCAGTCTAGTTTTCTGTCCTGATGGTTTACATCATTAAATTCTCAGGGCTTAATGTCTTATTTCTTGTTTTTCAGTGCTTATAAGATCTCCTGGGGCCCTATTGTACAATGAAATACAAATAATACGTTAATAAAACAGGATTGTGTATTTGTACTGCTGGCAGCCTGTGAGGATTACTTGTATGTAACATTTTGTGGTATTAGGACCTTGGTAATTTTTATCTGTCCCTTCTACCACTTCTTTAAAAGTGGCTTTTCTCTCTGCTCAGACAGTGCTTGAGAGATGTTGCCCTCTGGAAAGAGGTTTCTTCAGTCGCAATATTAATTTTTGATTTTTCTACTTTTTTTTCTGCATCCCTTTGGCAGTGTTTTAGTTTCTTTACCTGCTTCTTTCACCACTGGTTGTGATTTAGTTAATACAGTTTTTGTGATAGTTCAGTTATTGAAGTGATGTATAATACACACAGACTGTAGTTATTACTTGTCAGTTAGTGCTGCCCTATGGGGGAGAAAACCCTTTTAATGCACTTGTAGCAGTTTTAGTTTTATGAAGTACTTGAACTTTAAAGCTAGACTTCAATATACATCCTAGATCATTTTAGGAGAATATTAAAAATGAGATTTAAATGGGAAGAAAAAACCCACTTCCCCTCATGCAAGCTTTCATTGCTATAAGAAGAAACACTTGCTGAAGCATTGTACTTAATGAACGTTAGAAAATGCGATAAAAGTAAACTGATAACGTTTCATCTCCTCCACAAGACTGTTCTTGCAATATCACATTCCCGTGGCTCTGACAGCATTCCTCCTGTGTCCAACCTGTTGGCCTGAGCCTTGAACCATGTTTTTCGGTGGCATTTGTGTTTAGTCTCTCTGCAGAATGAGTGTAAAATTAATTTTTCTTTTTTTTTTTTTTTTTAGAAGTGTTTGCATGCCTCAGCCCAGTTCCAGTAGTGGAGGACTAGACTTGGGTTCTTCAAATGTATTGTTTCTACTAAGTTTTGGCAAGAAACATGAGCTGGGGGCAGTCCCCTCCAGCATCATCTCCTCTGGGGTGTGGATGCATTCGGCACATTCATCTGCCAGCAGTGATGGAGGGGTGAACCAGTGTGGCCTCCCTCAAAATTGCAGCGTGGTCCTCTGAAATCAAAGCGTGGCACATCCCAGAGCCATCTCCCTCCCATCAGTTGACTTCAATTTTTGCTGCCAACAAAGATGCTCCTAATTTTTTATTTTTTTTTTTTTTTTTAAATTGTTGCAAGTGCTCCTTTCAGCCTTTACAAAATGTTTTCTATTCTTTTGGATATCTCATAAAGGAGTTGAGCCTTGGGAGAACACCTGATGGCATTTTCACGTGTGTCTTTCAGGGTAGCAGATGCCCTCCTGAACTGCCAGCACTTCACTTACCTAAAGGTCTTGCCCTCGCTGCTCAGTGGAGGTGACTTCCAGACTCTAGTCAAGCCACTTCACGCTTGGGCTAGGTGTAAATATTTTTAATTAGTCTGTAAGAGCTTTCCATATATCTACTGATAATATCCATTATCCCTAATTCTAGCACTTGAGACCAGTTTCTGCCTGGTCTGGTCTCCCATTATCTGTATGTCATGTTCAGATTCCCTAAACAGCAAGTATCTGCTGTCTGAAGATCAAGTGACTTTTCTTAGACTTTGATCCCACAAACGGCTTTCCTGTGGTTTATTTCTCTGTGTTAAGGTTGAGATTTTATTTTCTTTTTTCTTCTTTTTTATATCCTCCACCGCTGCAGCCTATTGGGCCAGCAGTGGCGATGCTGCTCGTGCTGGATTTAACAGGCTGTGCTGTCCCACTTGCTGTGTGATCATTGCCAAGCTATGTTTTCTATGCACAACAGAGATGGCCAGAAATTTGCTCTTAATTTGAGCACAAAACCATCCTGCCAAAAAACCCCAGCCTCTGCCGGGCCCTTCATGGTGGACTCCCCCCTGATGATTGCACTGGGGACCTGGACCCCCCCGTCAGACCACGGGGTCTGGATCAGCAGCCTTTGGTGTAGGGGCTGGTATTAAATTACAATTTTTATTTACTGTTGCCTTGAAGCTGCCTGCATTTGTTTATCACTGTGAGCTGACCTTTGGAGAGACATTTCTTGATTAATTGGGTATCTAATCACTTCAGACCGTTGACAGGCGTGTGCGTATTAGAATTTTTCCTCTTGTTAAATATTTTCCCTCTGGTTTCTTCTTTTCCTGTTATATGGCAAATGATGCGTTTATTTTTTGTGTTAGTTCCTTCATTGTTTTTCTCTTTAGTAATTAACTGTTGATTTCATAGTTGCCTGTTGTCTTTTGGTCTGAGCCTTTCTTTTGCCAATCCATTCAAATCATAAGTGTTTCTTGTACTTAAATATGTGCTTATATGCTACAGGTACAGGTCAGCTATTTTAATTCTTGTGATATTTGGCCTTCAATAATAATTCTTTAAAGTTACTCTCCACAGGCTTTTTTTAAAAGAAGCTCTACCTTTAATTATTTTCTCAAGAAAGTGACTCTTTGTAGGTAATGAGTCCTTGCTCATGTTTATCCCCCAGAAAATTTTGCAGGCTTACGTGGTGCTTTAAGTTCCCAAGATGACAGGAAAGGGGCAGTGAGAGCTTTGGGACACTTCTGCTTGCATTTGGTTTAGGTCTTTCTACGTATGTACCTTAAAGACCTGCCCCTGGCAGTGCTTAGATGTTAGAAGGAGAAAGATGCTCCTGTTTTTTATTTGTTTGTTCTTTAGTTATTTGTTAGCAAATAATCTCAAATGTTTCTGTGGCAAACTGGTATAGAAAATCTCTTTTTTTTTTTTTTTTTTTTTTTTTTTTTTCCCTCCCTGTGGAAAACATAGGAATTTATTTTAGGTAAGAGATGTTTTGATTTATATACAGAGGGCAAAATTCACTTACGTGGCATGTTGGTCAGAGGCTCTGAAGAAGTAAAACGTGGCTAGATTCTGGACGGGTATGGGGAAGTATTGGTTTTATCTCAGGAGGTGTAATAGCATGAACTTTTTAATAGCCTTGAACTGGGACTCGGGGTCCTGGGGTTTGTCCCTGCTTTGCCCCTGGCCAGTGGATGCTGTCAGAGGTATCACAGTGGGAAACGGTCTGAGGTTTCAGGATGGAAAGTTCAGTTTAGTAGCAGATCTCCTTGTTAGCTTGTTCTTCTGGGTTGAAAAAAATGTAATAAACTGAATAAATGGTAATAAATTGTGTGTGCTTCCCACACGTGGCACTAAAGTTCAGGTAACCTCGTGCCACGGGCATGTCACGGGTAATAGGTAAGGGGAATCTCTTAACTCAATCCGAGTCTAAGCCTGGACTTTCTGGAGCAGGAGAATTTTATTTCAGCCCTTGCTGTGCTGTCAAGTCCCAGGCTTGGGGTACAGCCTGGCCCCAGCTGTGGAGTCTTGGGTTGCCATGGATTTGTTATGGTGCTCTTTTGCTCTGGCTAAACTGGTGCTTTTGTCACGTTTTACAGTCTACAGTGTGCCAAGGAAGGAAAATGAGTTAATTCGAAAAACAATTTTGCTGGAAGATTGCTCTATAAATAAATTCCAGAGATAAGTGAAATAAAACATTAGGGGAAGATGAAGGCAAGGAGAGGAGAGGATGGAAACAAGCAGCGAGACTGGCTTTGTTCTATGGCCAAGTGCTGATATTGATAGCAGAAATCCTTTTGTCACCTGTAACTTCTTTGGTGAGCAGCCCTTAGAGAGGGAACATCCGAATAACTCCAGGGGAAGAAATTCTGTGCTCTCCGCCCCTGTGCACAGAAATAAGTCGGATCTGGGCATCCTGGAGAGGTGCAGGTGTGGTGGGGAGCCGGGGCGCTTGGCAGCGGGAGGCAGAGGCAGGTCCCAGCAGGGATGCCGCGGGCAGGGACGCGGCTTCCCTGCTGCAGGGAGCAACCAGGGGTGGACGCGGCTCCGGTAGTTGTTGGTGCTGCAGCTCCTGTGTGTGTTCCGAATGGTTTGCACCACCCTTCTAAGGCTAGGTGATAAGGCAGGGCATTTTCAGTGTTTGCCAGTTGTGGTTTCAATCGTCGCTTTGTGCTTCCTGTAAAATGTCCTGTGTGACTGATCACAGGAGAGCCTTTTCTCTGCGACACTGTACCTGATATGCTGGAATGGGCAGACAGTGGTTTGTCTACCCGTGTTTGTCCTGGCTAAAAGTTGCTAATGCCAGATGATCCAGCTGTAAGAAATAAAACCATCTGTATAGCAACTAATGGTGAGATTTTATGCCTAGGTAAGCGTATCAGAGAGATAAAATTCCTGGTTATTTTCTCATTAGTTAAAGCTCCTGTAAAAACAAAGTGCCTAGAATATATATAGGGAAGATAACTCTTTGTATGGCAAAAGATGGCTCAGCTCAGAGATGCTATGGAATAACTTTCTTGACAGAGCAAATAAGGTGACTCCTGGTTTAAATGTGGTTTGTTTTAGCCTCTGGGTTCTTGGAATAATTTAATGAATTTTTTTGATGTTTGGAGCTATGTTCAAGGCTGGAACATCCTCCCTGTATCAGAATGTGTTGCTAATGTTAATTTTTCCTTTATTTCAGCAACAGCGCACAGTTTATAGGCTTACACTGGTGAAAGCTTGGAATGTGGATGAACTCAAAGCCTATGCTGACCTGATATCCCTCGGTAAACCAGACTTCATTGAGGTCAAGGTGAGCTGCACAAAGCCATTTTATTTTTTCCCATCAGTATTTTACTTTTTCCCTCCCCATTTTCCCCCCACCTCCCAGTCTTAAACTTATACGAGTAAATGAAACTTTTCCAAAGATTTCAGTGATGCATAAGGAACTTATCTCTTGCTTTTAAAGTTAGGCAGCCAGGTTTCTAATACCTTATGTGTGCATTTGGGAGTAGTCTTTAGCGTTATGCAAGACAAGCTTTGTACCAGCTGGCATCAATTTCTGCTCAACAGAATCATAACCCTCTGGTCTCTTTTGTATTTCTCATGAAAGCAGAGACTGATAAAAAGATGTTCCTTCTTTTATGTCAACCAACTTTTAAAACAAAATATTCTGGGACAAACTGGTAGTTTGTGGTATTATTCTTTCCATCCTTGCCTAAAATTCTGCCAGGGGAAAAGGTGATAATGTCTGGCTTACTGATGCAGTATTTGTCAGGCTGTGTAAAACAGGGGGAAATATTACCCTCTGGGACTGGAAGAACTGCGAACAGGAGCATGTGAGGTACAGCAGGGCAGGAGGTGCTTTATCTTGGGCTAAATCAATTTAATATATATAGAATGTAAAAAAGACACATTGTAAGGTGTTCTGAAAAGAATCACTATCAGCGTTTTCATCCAGCAACTCCTCTGCAGACCAGCACATTTACCTCAGCTCTGTGTTTTTGCAGCTCTATTACTTCTGGACTTTCTTTCCTTTCTATTTTCTATTTCTCTTTCCTTTTTTAAAAAAAAAATTATTTACTGCTGCTTTAAAGAAAAAACCCCTGAAGTTTGATGCAACTTCCTTATGAACAAAACCCAAAGGTTTTTATATTAGCAGTGCTGAGAGGTCTCTTTCTCTCTGAATGCGCTGCTGAATTTGATAGCTTAATACAAAATAAGGTTTCGAGTATGATTTGGGGGAAAAAGGCTCAGTTTTACAATGTGTATCAGACTGTTTTGTATTCCTCAGGTAAAACCTAGCAGGAGGAGTGCTCCTGTGGGGCCCTTCCCACCTTGCATCTCCCGACTCTTACTGCAGCCGGGCAGTACAAGATCCAGCATGCGAGGCGGGCAGGGATGAGTGTGCACGCCAGCGTGGAGCATGAGGCTGTTGGTGTATGTGCTACTTAGAAGGCTCTGTCATGTGCAGCGACTTTAATTAGTAAAATGAATCAGGTGTAAGCTAATCAATGTTTCTGTGCACTCTCCAGGGTGAACATCTGTCTCCTCCAAGGCAGAGGGCTGCTGTTCCCTTTGCCTGGGGAAGGATTCAGCCTTGCAGCCATGGTTTCCCAGCAGTGTGCAGTTCAGCTCTCCCAGTGGCTTTTCCCTGGCAAAATCATGCCTTGGACTGCCAGGGAAATAGGTGAGAAGGTCATAGAGGTACTCCTGACACTCCTCCAGCTGGGACAGGCTCCTGCCCACACTGCTTCAATCAAAAATGTTGTCTTTGCACTCCAAGTACTTCAAAGTGCTTGTCAGATACCAACCTGTAAGGACTTTCTCTGAGGAAAGGATGCTTATTGAGCACTTTGCCATGTTTGCAAAACTATGAGCTGAGGCAGAGAGGAACTGCGTGACATTCCCAAAACAACATGTAGCATAGTAGTGTAGCTGGGGGTTGCGCATCACTAGTGTACCTGCCAACACCAGCAGCAAAGGGAGTACAAAGGGGTTGCAGAACAAGGCCATCAGGTGCCAGGTGCACCCCTCTGCCTTCCATGTGCTGTTGGGTGGGTTTGGGTCTTTTTATGGACTCATATGAGTGTAAGTTTGCAGTCTGTTTTGGGGTTTTTTGCTATTTTTTTTTTTAAAGGTGTATGCTGTTTAATGTTAATTACTTTTGCAAGTGAGATGCTTGGACCTAAATGTCATTTTTTCAGAAATCTTCCAGCAGGTAAGTGAAGTTCTGCAAGTGCTGGAGGACAGAAGTGCCTACCAGGGTGCTGATCCCTGTCAGATCACGGGGTCTTCAAGCAGGGGACAGAACATCTCATGCCTCACTTTCTCCTGTGAATGGTTTAGTATTGAGCCTATACTGTGGCCACAAAAGCAGTCTGTAGCTGGCATGTGGAAAGTCTCTTGTATTTCCAATCCCAAGAACAGTATTCAGAGAAACTCAAGTTTAAGCCTTCTCAAAGGATGCAGCATCTCTCTCCCTTGTCTCTGCTAGTTGCTGTACTTAGGCTGGGAGCGATGGGGAAAGTCTCCCCTTCCCTGGTTGCAGCTCTCATTAAAAACTGCAGTACAGCGTTTCACAACTTCATTGCGATCTATATACTCAGTCCAAAAAATCTCTTCTACAGTTTGTTCTTTGTTTCCAGCCTAGTGGAGGGAGGATGAGTTTCCAAAGCTCTCAAAACCATACAGCAAGTCTGACAGCAGCTAAGCCCCGCGAGACAGAAGCGAGCAGCAGAGTACAAGAAAACACACTTAATTCCTTTTCAGCTTCAGCAGCAGAAATGAATTGTCAGGGCACTGCTCCACCTCATTCACCAGCGGGCTCTGAAATAGTCTCCATTTTTTTCCATTTAATTGAGCTTTTAAAGAGAGCTGTGCTGTCCTGTTGTCTTAATTTTGACGACAGGAAAGCAGGGTTCATATACTTGGAAGTATGAAGCATGCTGCTGCAGGCAGCGCTGCTCGGCAAATGGGAGCGGAGCTGAGGTTATCTCTATTCGGGCACAACATTTGGTGTTTAAATGGCATTTCCACCCCTTTTAAGTCACAAAACTTTGTGATGGCTTCCCTGGAGCAGGGAGATTTGCTTGACACTAGGTTGTGTTTAAATAGACCATAAGTTGGACGAAAGGTCTTGCTCACAGATTTTCGTATGGGATGTTTTTATGTGAGAGCAAGGCTTTTTTAACACAGTTGCCTTTCTTCTTTGGAGCAAGTGTAACGTTCCAAAAGGTGGGTACTTGGTACTCTGCAGAGGGGAAGCAGCTCACATTAAATATAGTATTAGCCCAGCCAGTGGCCTTATTTGTTTCGCATAGTTTCATCTGCCAGTTTCCTGCTAAACAGCCGCATTTCTAAAGTGTGGAGGATTTGGTTCCGTAGGGAGGCACAATGGCTTTCTCCTCTTGCTGCACTGCCTCTGACTTTGAAATGTGAGAGGATTACATGGTTTCTCACCTCAAGCGTGGAATCAATTTTTTCCTTTTCTTGGCCAGAAGGAGTGACACATTCTGGAGTGGCTGATGAACAGAGTTGTGTTGTTGCGGGGTAGTGAGAGAGTCCAGCCAAGTACCAACAGGAGAGGCTGACAGAGGGGATGTTATCTTAAGGACAGCTTCCCTGCTTTTCTGTCCTCCTCTGAAGTGTCACCTGATGGCTGGTGGGGTGATGTGCCCTCCGTGCTACTGGAGATGTTCGTGTTGCTGCTGTGCCTGCACTCAGACCTTTATCCCATGGTCTGACCTGACTAAATTAGTAGGTTATCCTCCTTTGCATTCAGCTGTGTGCTCTGCAGACAGCTTGTTTTCATCGGATCGTCTTTAATCCTGGCTTAGAAAGCTTTTGTCCAGCACCCAACCCATGAGATCAGCCTTCTGCAGCAGGACCCCTGGTACAGATGGCTGTTGCAGTGGTTTCAGAGGCATCTGAGCTGTGCTGGTGAGCAAACTGGGGTTGAGAATTCTTCAAGATGCCTCGTTGTGTCTGCCTGTGCACCTGTGGGGTGAAGCAAAGAGCTGGGATCTCTGTCCCCGAGATGTTTGCCTGCTCAAGAATAAAAGCTGAGCAGATTTCCTTCTCAGCAAAGTAGAACAGCAGAATTGGGGCTGCATCACACCCCCTCCCCAAAGCCTGGGAGTTTACAATTGTGCAGGCAAAGTGTATGTAGGCAGAGTGATCACAAAGATATAATCCCACAGCATTCAAAGTGATACTTCATACAATAGTACATAAAGTCAGGAGTTAAATTCTGATCCAAAGGAAGACAGGTGAGGTTGAGGTGTGTTCAAATGTAGCACTCATTGCTGTCGGCATTCCCTTCCATGCACTTTAGGTATTGATCTGCACTTGGACAAGAACTCCTGCCTGTGTGTAACTGGCCTAGTCCAGCCGCAGCAGTTGTGGTGTTCACACAGCATCTGTGACTTAGGAATTTTCCCCAAAAGACTTGGTATTTTTGATTAAAAGTAATTTCTTGTGTTCCTTTGAGAATGAAGCATATTGAAGAATCTATGTGGCATGTAGATAGGATTTAGAGGTTTTTTTTTTTTTTTTTTCAAAACACCAGTATGATAGGTTAAAGGGCAAAGACGAGGTCCTGCTCAAAGCAAATAAACAAAAAAATATTACAGAATACTGCAAACCATCTGTCAGAAAATGAGGCTTATCTCAGTGGGATTTCCTGATTAAATAGTGGAGATAAATGACGTTCATTTAAAATGAATGTAGCTAATCCACTGTTGCTCCTGAGAGGCTCACGGGGTGGAGTGGATAGAGGTTTAGATTCTTGCAGGGCTTAATACTTGTTCTCATTTACATGAGTATTTTACAGCAGTGTAACTCCGTGGGACCCTACTCTCTTATTTAAGCCAATAGAAATTAGCCTTGATTACCCGTGTGTAAATCCCAAGTGAAGGAAGAATGTGTCATGTGGTTATTAAATACGCATCAATTTTATTGCCTTACTCTGTTTTAATGCCGTAATGTCACTGTCGTGGTTGTACAAAGTTGGTTGTTGTATTTAAGATCTAGAATTTGCAACTCATCTTTTTGCAATGTTACCTTGGTTTTGTTTGAAAAGCCAGAGGCTTGTGTTAACACGCAGTATTTTGCCATTTTTATTCCTTCTTAAGCCAAAGGGGTGGAAGGATTTTTGTATGAAATGTAAATGGATCCTAAGGAACTCATTCAGACGTGCAAGTGGAGTGTGCTTCAGGGTCCTGTTAGTGCAAGGGCAGATAAGTGCACGGAAGCCCACTCTGGAGCTTTGGTCATTGCAGACAGGTCACAGAGCAGCTGGGTGCACTTTGG